TTACCACATTTCGATAGCTATTTTCGTTTTGATCGACAACCCCGTTGTTGAACGGGCAGTGTTTGCTTAATGTATTTACCTTCTGCATAAAAAAATTTTAGCAACAATGTAAAGGGCATGGTTACGTTTAGTAGTTTAGAAGAATAGGTTGAAAGTACAAATAGGGTGAAAACGTGCCCTACTACCAGTTAAACATATTCCCCAAATTTCGTTGTCCTAGCGTGTATGGTTTTTGAGAAAAAAAAATTAAACCAAAATTTTCCGCCATTTTTGGAGTGGTGTAGCTCCTTAGGGTAGCCCAAGTCGCCCATGGTTTATATATCAAAGTACCCTTAAAATTGCCTAAAGAATCACCCCCTGAAGTTTGGGCATGTCATTCAGATACACCCTGTATATGTACATAGACTAATACATAATTATTTATTTTTGTTCCAGAATAATATACCTTTTAATTTTTCCATTCCGAGGGGCAACCCAAAACCTAGTGTGCGAAGAACCTCAGCCCCCAGTTTCGAGAAGAGTCTTGTTTATGTTACCCTTTATTTCATTGAATTCGATTTTTCCTTTTATTTACCTGGGCTTAATGATCGTTGCTTGGTTAATTTTGTTTTGCTTAGTTTATTTTGCATGAGTAACTTTTGTTTTTTTTGTTTGATTATTTTTGAATTGCTGGTTGCTTTTGTGCAATCATACATATAGCTTAGTCGCATAAATCGCATGAAAGAAAACGCATGAAGAAGAAGAAGAACTTATTAAAAAACAATTTCTTGTAATATATAGTTTCTTTTATCATGATAAATTTATTCACAGTTTCATAATTAAAAATATTAAAGTTTCAAATAGTTATTTACCCCAATTTTATAATTTATTATAATTTTTATTTGGTACTGATAGGCAACCCAATTTGCAACATTTTAGTGACATCATGTATGTATTATCATTGATTATACTACTCCAGATTGCTAACCATATGTATAAAATCGGCAACTGTATATGTTGGGTCAAGGTTTATATATAAGAGGTTGTCTAGATTCGTACGCAACCATACTGCGCATTACGTCACATGTGGAAAATAAAACCGCCAAGCAATTCAAATTAAACAAATGCACGGAGCACCATATGGCCATGAGGTTGCGTGCGCAATCCGTGATCGCTTACGTCACGAAACACTCCTGCTCTTGCCCCTCGCCCACAAACTAAATCAAAGTATTGCAGCATAGGTACCTATAGACAACCTTTAATATATAAACCTTGATGTTGGGTTGCATCACGCACTGTTTATTCTCAAAAAGAGAATAAATGTAGATAAGTGAGATAGAGTCTTAATAAGAAAAGGGACGATCAATTAGCCCCGACCTCAAAGGACGTCACCTATATATATATATATATATATATATATATACAGCGTGTCCCGTATCTTCCGCATCAGAGCATTATACGGTTGTAGAATACATTATTCTGACGCGATCTTTCTAATAAAATTTTTTCGAAATGTTTATAATAACCGCACGGGAACTGTTTAACGACGACCAATAACGGACGACTTTGATTCATCGAAAAAGTTTATTTCTCTTTCCANTATTGTATTATTTATTTTAAAATATACCTTTGGTGCTTCTTTATATTTTTATTTTGTATTTATTTTAATAATTAATCTAATAGTAGATGATCAGATAATTGTGCAAATATTCTCATTATTAAAAATTTATTGCCACACTTATGCCCGGTTGCACCGTTTACATAGATGAGCATAACTTAGTTAAGCAGTTCTTATAGTTAAGAAGAACTTAAATTTTATGTCTATTGCACCGACACAACATATAGTAACGTTTAAGTATCGGTTATTTGGCAACAACGCCATAAAATTTAGTTATTTTTATAACTTTTAGTAATTTTTTAGGGTTTTTCGTGTTGTCAAGTTAATGTCAGTTGACATTTGACATATACCATGTAAATAACATTTCTACTATTCGTATCATTCCCAACTTCGCGAATATTCGAAGAGTGTTGAGTTATATTGTGAGTTATAAGGACGTTTATAAAAAATGTCGCAAGAGGTGAACCTTTTAAAGATAAATTAATATTTAGAAATTTCATTTACATAAACATATTTTAGAGAAAGATAAAACG